ACAACAGTAACAATCAAGACTGAATTAAGAATCTAAATTACAATAGAATACCGATTAACAATTGATAAATGATTAGCAATTCAATGAACCTTTTCTGTAAGAAAAATGGTAAACAATCAAGAAAATTGTTCGTTAATCAAATTAAATCTTATTGTTAATTGTTAATAAGACACATAAACATTTTAATCAAGGTAACAATTAAAAGAAAACAAGAGAAACAATCAAACAATGTTCAAATCTTTGGCTTAAAAGATTAACCTTGTAATCCTTTGTTGTGAAGATTAACTGATGAGATGAATTCTGATTAGTAGTAGATAATTAAAAAGAATCGAGAATACAATTAGAGAAAAAAATAAATAATATTATCAAGATTGGATTACAAGGTTAAACTAATTGTCAGAGTATTAAAAATAAGATTAATTCAAATTATTTGAGGTTAAATAGGTAAATTGTATTGGGAAAAAGAGAGATTAGTACAATTTGAATTGATTTTTATCCATAAAAAGTAATCAATTTTAACAGATTATATCAAAATGATAATTAAATTTGAATTTGACCCATTGTAATTAACAAAAGAAAAGACAAAATCAGGTTAATACAAAGTAAATTATCAAACAAATAGTGATTAGTAAATTGCTGCCAATCAACTAATGTGTATTTCAATTCTAATCAGTATCACATAAATTTCATTTTTTGATGATAAGTTTACTTAGTCAACACTGAATTGATTAGTTAATGATGGATGCTACTTGCCAATCATCAATAATCACAATCAACAATCAAAAAGTTAAACTGATTTGAACCATTTCCTTTAGGCAATTTAAAGGCAATAGAAAAAAAAAACCTTAATTGTAAACCACGAAGATGAATCAACATGTTCCCATCGGCAGTAATCATAATCATCACCACCAAACAAGCAAAAGTTTTTTTCTCTCTCTTGATTATGATTAACTTTTCAATTTCGTTTTTTTCGCAGTTTTAATAACAATTAACATTAATCTAAACATTTAATTAACTTTCTCTTTCTTTAAGAGTTACTAATCAAATAATCATCAAATCATTATTACTTTTCCAATGATCAGTTTGATTGTGATTTAATAATAATTGAAAGTAAATTGAATATTATTCTTGATAATTGGTTAATCAGGACAATCGAGGTCAATTGATTATTGCTTCAATAGCTATTACCTAAAACTTTTGATTTCCCTGTTAATCAACAATCAAGAGAGAGAGAAAAAAATTGATTCAATTAACAAAAAGGTAATAAAATTCATCATGATTAACAATCTAATTGTGATGAAGATTCCAAATCAAATTAAATTTGAATTTACATTTACTATGAATACACACACATACATTAAAAAAATCAATCAAATCAGTAACAAAGTAACAGATTATAATTAATTGATTTCAGTAATTAATTGTTAACAATACAAGTTTTTAAAATGAACACAATGTTACAATTACAATAATGTTTAAAATAAATCGAGAAAGTGATTCGTTCAAAAGCAAAAGAAGAAGAAAAAAATCAACAACAATTAACAATCGAGTGAATCAAAGTGATCAGGTTAGTGATAGTAAATACAACACAATTCAATGAATAGGTTAATTGTTTCCTCTCTCTCTCTCTCTCTCTCTCTCTCTCTCTCTCTCTCTCTCTCTCTCTGTAACAATTAACGGCTAATTGTTGCATATGGTTAATTAATAATATCGGATCACTTTGAAATCTTGACTCTGTTTACGTTTTGGGTCATTTCCTGTTGATTTTCAATTGTGATAGTAAAACAAGACAAGGTATTCACATCTTAATTGTTAATAACAATTTAGAGAATGCTAAACATTCAAATATGAGTTTTTCTTTGTGTTAGATATTATGTAAACACCCAAAGTAGCAGTTAATTGTTGTTATTGTTTCTGGTGTAATTAAAACACAACAAAATATACACACTAACTTATGAGCGTTTTTTTGTTGTTGAATAACTTAATGCTTTTCAACGCTTGAGCGCTGACCTAATAATCATCATGCTAATTATTATTAGTACTAGTAGATGGGGAATAAAAATTAATATATTACACGAAACGGAAGTAATCAAGGCATCAAGTAAGAAAAAAAGTTAATTCTTAAAAAGGAAGTTGATAGTTAACCTATCAACACAGAATTGGAAACCTAATGAATATAAAGAGCAAACATCTAATCAAGATTTACCGTTAATCATGATTAGATGATCAATTTGAAGAAATTAATTAATTAACAAAAAAAACAAAGATTGAACGATTTACAGTTCTGGTTAAACTTAAACGAAATCAACGAAAAGTGAGTCGCCATCTATCGTTAACAATCAAAGTCGTACAAGATTTTTAATCAAATCATTGGAAACTTTTTGATGACTTATGATTAATTTAAGTTAATTAATCATGTTTTATAAATCACAATTAAGCTATTAAAGTAATTTAGTAAACACCATCGGTGTGTGATCGGTCTTGGTGGTTTAAATCATTGTGATTTATTTGGTTTATCATTGAATTGATCAGATAAAATGAGAAAATTGTGATTCTGATCATGATCAAGGTGGCTAATAATCAATAATAATCAAGGCTAATAAATTGTGAATGGTGGTTATTATAAACAAGTAAAAAGTTAACCTCAATAAATAATATTAATAATAAGAATAGTAATAAACTCTCATAGGAATATAATTGAAATCAATTGATATTGACATTTAAATGGAAACGATAATAATAGGAAATAATAATAATCACCAACAATCAACAATCTGATTTGATTCAATGTCATTAAATTTTGGGTACAATAAACAAACAGAAAAAAACTACACTCGTTAAATCAATTTGATCAGTCAAGTGTCACTAACAATTCCCAATAGGTAGTTACCACAATTTATTATGTTATCATTATTAACAATTGTCACAATGAAGATTTTATCACAATCAAGTCTCTTAACCTTTATCATCATCTCTCTTTCATCCTCATCCTTTTTCCTACATCCCCATCTCCTATCTTCCATCTTCATCTTAGCATCTTCTTTGTCTTTCTCTCTCTTTTTTTTCTCTTCATCTTCACCTTCTTGTCAATCATCATCTTTTTTTTTCACTAAGATACAATTGACAATGATGAAGATGAAGATGATGATTCTGAATCTATTATATTATTATCATGCAAGTGATAAACAATATTGATAATTAACTATAATATTGATTAAAAAAATGATCAACTTTGTGTTTGAGTAAAAAAAAAATGTTGATCATCAATCAAATTGCAAATGACCATTTATGTCAATGTCATTTAATTGCAAGCTAATGATGATAATGGTCAAGATCTTAAAAGAGAGAGTCCAGTTGAAGAAGAATATTAGTATTTTCCTCTCTCTCTCTCTCTCTCCATCTCAATGTGTTCGTTGTTTTCGTTGCAGGAAGAGAAAAAAACGAAATAGCAAATGATGATGATGATGATTTAGTAATTATGGTTAACCGTTTATAATCAGCTAATTGTTAGTGGAAAAAGTTTTAACCAAATTAAGTTAAAAATGGTAGAGGAAAAAAGATGAAATATCTTCTCACAAGAGAGAACATGGATTTTTCTTTTCTCTCTCTCTCTCTCTCATATCTTCATCTGATTCTCTTTTCATCTCATCAACATTCATCTCAATTCATCTTTTCTTTCATTTCCATGTCATCCTTATCATCTTCATCCTTTGACAATTTTTCAATCATCATCAAAATCAACAAAACAATCAGTGTATCATTTTCAACGAAAACAAGTTAATCTTAATAACAAAAATCATCTAAACCTCCCAAATTATCAACAAGTTAAACCACAAAATTAACAGTTAGTTAATTTTACCTTCAAGGTAATTTAGCCTTTTAGATAATTAGGTTTATTATAAAGTTGTTAATCGGTTAATCACTCTGGATTATCAATGAAATAATCTTTTCAAGTGCAAACACTAATGGCAAAAAAGTCAATTGAAATTTGAAGAAAAACAAAAATTATTCTTCCTCTCAATTAACTTTTCTATTGGGGTGTTAATGTTTAAATCACATTCAACAAATCACTAGAATGATTGTATAATAATAATTAAGAAATCAATTAAATAGATAGTATAGTTAATAATAATCAAGATAATAATAATAATTTCTAACAAGATAATTAACGATTCCGAGAAAATTTAACATCAACATCATGATAAACAGTAAGGAGTTATAACTCTTAATGTTTTCACTGGATTTAGAGATGATTAGATCAATCATCATGTGTTGATATTGATTGTTATTCTGAGTGTATGTTGAATTTGATTGCAGTAAATTGTTGTACACTAAACACAATAGGGATGAGATAATTGTATCTGAAAATAAATGGAAATTTAATTATGTGGCTGTGTGAGAAAACAGTTAGATGTGAATAATCAAATGATATTTACAACATTGGAATGTAATGTTGACATAAAAATATTTCTCACAGAATATGAACCCATGTTTATCATGGAGAATGAGAGAGAGAGAGAGAGACAAAGATAATGATGGAAATGATGATCAACAGTGGAGATTTTAACTGAGATGATGAACAAGATGAAATTCTGAATAAATGTTGATTAGTACATGATGATGATGATGATGATTAGGGTGGAGAGAATATAAAAAACAGATGAAAAGAAATCTTTCTTTTTCTTTTCTGGGCTAAGACCCAAAATAATCATCAACTTCATCATTACACATTTAATTAACCAGACATCACATATTCTCAGCTCGAAAAAGTATCAAAAAAGAGAAAGACACCAAAAAAAACATGGAGAATATGAGAGATATAGAAAAGAACAAAAAAAAATTCCAAAGCACAGAAATGACTCCATTTTTCCGCAGAGAACAGAAATGAATCTCTTTTCATGGATTCTCTTTATAACTTGCAAATTTATCCCATGTAATAAATGCTTATAGATGGTTATTGTCGATTATAATTAACAAAAGAAATCAATTAATTAACTTACCTTTCCAGCTTTACTTGCAAATGAACCAGTTAAAAGGCTATTGTAGATTATAATTGTCTCATCTAAATCCCAGATAAAAACTCTTTCCAAATGATTGGGAAGTTGATCTGGAGATTGAGTTGGTTGACGACGACCTCGTCCACGACCAGCCTTAGATGAACCTTTCGAGGAAAATTAATAAAAAACACCAAACAATTAAACCATTTTAATAATAAAAAAGAGAAAACAATTTCATTGGAACAAAAGAAGAAAAAAATTTGAATGAATAAGAACAAAAAAAGCATAACCAGCTGATTGGAATTGGAGGGAAAACGATTAATCGATTAATTTGATTACGTTGATTGGAAATTTGATTAGAAACAATTAAAGAATTAATCAGGGAATTTAGTTGATGGATGATCAAGATGAAGAACATTAAAATTAACTAATTAATGAAATAAAAACAATAGAATTTTACATAATTTGTTTTTTTTTCTTTTTCTATTTTATGCTTTTTATGCTTTTCGGTTCTATTGAATCGGCGAATTAAAAATTCTTCATTTGAGTTTTTCCATTTTCTTGTGTATTCTTCATCTTTTATCTTATATTGTGTGTCTTTTATTTTTTATTATTGTTAATATATTGACAAGAGATGGAGATGAAGATGATAAGAGAGAGAGAGAGATCAAAATGGATGATGAGGAGAGAGAGAGAGAAAAATATGACAAACCATTAGAAAACAAATATTGTTATAATCAAGTTGAGAGCAAAAGTGGTTTGAATATCTCTTTCTTTTTCTCTTTCTTCATCATCTTCTGTCTTTTTTCTCTCTCTCTCATCCTGTCAGGGATGATTCTCGACACTCAGCATCTCATGTTACACAGGATGATAAAAAGAGACAGAGAAAAGGTAGACAATGGTTCCAATGAAGCGAATAGACAGACTCAGGAGGAAGAGAAGACATGAAAAGACAGTTTTCTTTTTTTCTTCTATATTTCTCAATGTTAAACCAAATTCACTTTCTCTTTTTTTACCATCTCCGTTCTTTCTCTCTCTCTCTTTTTTTCTGTTACTTTTTTATTCTATTCTATTCTATCATCATCATCTTCTTCCAGTGTATCTTCATCTTCTTATAAAACATTTTGTATTTCTTCCAATCCAAAGAATTAATCTTGCTCAGTAAATTTGTTGCTTTTTCATCTGTTCTAATCTGTGTTAACATCAACAACCAACCCTATTGACTTGACATGATTATCAACCTAAAGTAGCTTAAAGTAGATTAAAACTAGTAGCTTTTCAACTAGTTAATCCTCTTCATCTTCTTATCCAATGATTACAATAACAATTCAATAACGGAAATCCGGGGATTCTCTTTTTCAACAAAATCTAAAATTCAACACTCAACGATATGATTATCATCATAATCATCCTGATCTCTAACCTTTCTCTCTCTCTCTCTCTACAAATAGATATTGGAAATTGCAAATGGAGGCCAAGAAGATGATGGAAAAGAAAACAAATTTAAGGCTAAGGTCAAGTATCTTAGACGAAAATCAGCTGACACTTGATACTAATTAGAATTTTTTTGTTTGTTTTTCAGAATTTACCTTTTTTTGATGGATTAGATTGACTTGTAATTAATTCAACTGTTGGCTTGGGTGTTGTCGTAATCATCTGATTAGTATCCAATGGAAGATGTTGAAGTGAAGGATAATGAAGTGTAGTTGGATTTTCATTCAAATAATGAGCACAATGTTTCTTACTACTATTTCCAATTGAATTGGAATTAGTTGTATTACTACTGTTACTATTAGAATTACTATTAACACAGTTATTAGAAGATGAATTAGTATTATTACTATTCGTGGCACCTCCACCACCACCACCACTATTGACAGTATTTATCGTTGATGAGTTGCTATTGTTTACATTTCCATTAGCAACATTACTGGTATTCCCATTGCTTGAATTATTAGTCTCAATATGATTAGAGTTACTTGAATTTGATGTTGCATTTGAATTACTTGTTGTTGTAGTGATTGTTGATGTTGTTGTCGAGTTATTAACAGAACTATTGTTATTATTATCATTGTTATTTGTATTATTAACATTGCTTGCTGATGATGATGATGATGATGATGAAGGTAAATGTTGTTTAGATGATGGTGATGCTGAAGATGAGGCTGTTGTTATTGATTTGATGTCCTGGTCAATTGAACCTTCCCATGAACCTGATGTGGTCAATAAGGATCCCATGGGTGTTGCTGTTGTCGATGAAGGTGGGATGTGTGCTAATGGATATAAAGACGAAGCTGAACTCGAACCGTAACCTTGATTAGCGTAATAATTAGCGTACCAAGGACTCGCTTGATTATAAGGATTATATGCATATTCAAGACCACCTTGGGAACAATTAGCCATCGGATTAACAGATGAATTGGATAATCCACTTGCCCCAAATCCTGTTAAAGGTAAAATAGAAAATCATTTAAATGGATTGTTGATTTGTTGTGACGTTTTAATTGTTTATTACCTGAATTGTCTTCGGCTGTAGGAACATAATAATAATAACTTGGTGCTTGGGCTGTTGTGTTGTTATTTCCCATCGATGTCAATGAACCTGATGATTAAAAGTAAACAATTAAAAGGATTAGGATAATTAACAGTTACCGTTTAAAAAATGGACACCAACCAACAACAACAACCAGTTGACTGTTTCTTTTTAGTTATTAATCACTTACAATGGTAATTTTTCATTGGGACTCGATCTAACTGTAATCCACACCAATCCATTTCTTTAATTATTATTTGCAGAACAATTTAATCAAAGAAATATGTATATTACTAAATTAACTCAATTAATGGACAAAATGGTCAAGTGTTAACACGGAATTATGATTATCGTTGGTCAGTGGAAACTAAAAACTTAGTGAAATTTTCAAGTTCAGAGCAAAAACAAAAGGGAGATGCAAAGAGAAAACAAGTGATTGATGTGGAAAAGAAAACTTTTTCCACCCCTCCCTTGGAATGGAAGATGAGAAAAGGAAGAGAGAGAGAGAGAGAGAGAGAGAGAGAGAGAGAGAGAGAGAGAGAGAGAGAGAGAGAGAGAGAGAGATGAAGAGGAGGAGGATGATGATGATGGATGAAAAGAAAGAGTAGAACGATTGCAAATGACCTTTGGCCGAACAGAGAGAAAAAAAAGAAACACAAGAAAACCCAAAGTTCCACAAAGATTTTTCTTCTCTTTTTTTCTGGAATAAAAATGAAGATTAAAAAGGTTCATCCTCTCATCATCATCTTCTCCTCCTTCTTATCCTATCTTCACATTCTCTCTCTCTCTCTATCCACCTCTTCATCTTCATCATCTTTACGTTTTGTATTCTCCCCTTTGGTGATGGACAAATGATATTCTCAATGGTTGACCGGAAACTTAATGCTAATGTAATGAACAGAAAGAACAAAAAAAAACACAAAGACTTGACCATTCGATGACCTTAAACAAAACGACCTTAAAACATGAAAAGATTGGAGTAATTTCTTGGTAACAATCAACAGAAAAGAGGAGAAAAGAAAAAGAAAAAGTTAATTAAATGAAAGAAAAAATCAGTTACCATGGAAACCTGTGGATTCTCATCACTTTGAATAAATTAACTGATAATTAACATCGAAAGAGACTAATAACCTTTTAGAATCTAATTGTTGTGTTACCCTATCTTACTGATTTTAGTTAATATTTGATTACTGATTAACATTAATTAAAGTTAATTAGTCATCATTGTAACATCATCTATGAATCTCCTTTTTATATATAAATGATTAACTAAATCATCATTTACCAAATTTACAATAAGATAATAATATTAGTTTTCCCTTTTAAAATTTTCTTCAACAATTAACATCAATTAAACCATTTTCATTAATTTAGATTAATAAATAAACATTATTACTGATTGTCTCATTGATTGTAAACGTTGATTATTTCATTTTTGGTTTGTTTGGTTGATTATTATTATGGGCTAATGTATTTAGTTAATTGTTAGTTAAATATCAAATTTCAAACAATCTTATTGACTTGGAAACAACTATTTTCCTTTCATCTTTTTTTTTCCCAATCCATAAGCTATTAATCAAATCTAATCAACAATTTACTTGATTATGATTTTGATGATGATGATGAGGAAGAAAAATATTTCCTCCTTTATGTAACCAATTTACTACAAGCATACAAAATGATTAACTAATTGCAATGAAAGTGCAATTAACCAAAATATAACAACAATCATCTTAAGTTAATCAATGATTTTTTTCTTGCAAATTGCAGATTGATTGTTATTTAAACTAATCACTACAATTTGATATATAATATATATTGGATTGTATTGGATTGGATTGTTGTTGTTGTTAATTGTAGTTTTGTTTTTGTTGTTTTGATTAACTATTATGGTGAATTTGATGTTAATTGTTACCTTTTTTTGATGATGAATTTGAATGATGATGAAGTAAATCAACCTTAGATGATGAACTTGAATCAAAATGTGAATGATAAGCTGATTCACTTAAAGGATAATGACAATTTTTCTTAATTGCTGTTGATGATGATGTTAATTTAGTTGATGATTTACTATTATTATTATTATTATTCTGATTGTTGGTGGTTGTGGTTGTGGTTGTGTTGTTGTTGGTTGGGTTTAAACAATCATCATCAATTGCTGATGATGATGTTTGTTGATCCCATGAAATTAATTGAGCCATAGCCGAACCTGAAGTTAATTGTTGATACAAAGTGGCCCCAGCCGAGGTTGAACCAACTGACCCATAGTGATGATGTGAACCCGAACCAACTGAATAATATGAACCAGGATAACCAGTTGATCCCGTTGAATAAGCGCTGTGACCATAATCAAAACTTGCGGCCGCTTGTTGACAATTAGTTAAACTTTGATTAGTCGTTGAACTGTTAACATTTGGTGAATTAAAACCTTTCGAGAATTGAGAAGAAAAATAGATTTACAATTTACTAATTGTTTCACTTTGTTTGACAATCAATTTAATTGTGTTCTCATTACCTGAATTGTCCTCTGAAGGAATCATTGTTGGCCAGTAATTAGTGAAATTTGTTGCTCCTTGTGAAGTTGTTGTACTTGCCATTTCAATACTGATTATTGATTGTTAACAATTAACGAAAAGCAAAAACAATTTACCTAATAAATTGTTGTAAAGATAAATAGTGATTTGGTTAATTTTCATTACGATTAATTCAATTGTCTCAATTTTATCCCTTCATCATTAAACTAATCTTACTCTCCATTATGATTACTTAGATTTTGTTAACAATTAACCTTTAAACTCAGCTAATTAAATCACTTCCGTTATATTAATTGCAAACAATTAAAACAGTAATTAAAATATTATAAATAGTAAGAAGGATTTAATGAAAAAAAAAATCAGATTCTGTTCATTTTTGATCATTTAAATTACTTTACGTTAATTACTTTGAATATGAATTGAATCAACTTGATTGTGCAAGCAATTAATGCACAAAAATACTGGTAAATTTTAGCCAATTAAAATTAATTGCAATTGATACAAGAGAGAGGTTATTGCAAAGCTAAATTAACTGTAACCATTGTTATTAATGCTGATCAAACAATCAAATTAAAAGGATGATAAAAGTTTAACAATCAACCGCCTACTAATCAATCAAAATCAAAACCTCCATAAGCCTAATTTAATCATCATCACCATTGATGAAGTGTTAATAGCTAACAATTTGATTATAATCTGTTTGTCAAACAGTAAATCAAATCAAATTAAATCACTTTAAAACCAAATGATCACAAAAAAAGTAGGAAAAAGTGTAATCATCTCAGGAGAGATTGAGAGTTAATCAAGTTAATCATGTGAATTAGGAATTGAAATTGGATCATACTAATCAATAATAACAATCATGGTAATGATCATAACGGTTAATCATAATAACCCAAGAAAAAAAAAGGTTGATGAAAACAAACAATCAACTGATTGTTGAGAAGAAAAAATAAATTCTAATCAACCAAATTTTGCTTTTTTCTCTATGTTATTTACTTTCCCATGAGAGTTAATTTAAACTAAATTAAGGAAGTAAATTAAGCTAATAAAACAATGAGTTTGTGATTTATTTATAGATTATGATCAACGATTAATGATCACAATTAACAAATGAATGATAATCTGGCCAATTTAACATTTGAATTTGTACAAAACAATTTAAATTGTTTACAAACAATCAACCATTAAATTAAAGTCTCAGGTCAATGGCAATTAAATGTTAATTATGATTAATATTATTAATTGTTTCGAGTTGTGGTTGCTTTTTATTTACCTTTTTTTGCTTCCGTATTTAAATTTAAATCACAATTAAATATTAGAAAACAGAAATGATGGAAAATCATTATTACCAAGCTTATGATTAGAAAAGCAATTAACTAATTGTCTCGGATTTGTAATTAAAAACTTTTTTTGTTTCGAGGTGAAAATAAAATGAAAGTTATAAATAATATTTTAAACATCTCGATCTAGTTAATTGTTTATGAGCTTTTAATGGGTTAACGGTTTAATTAACAGTAGACAAATTAAAATGGATTGGTAAATTAAATGAAACTTATCAACAATTAAAAGGTTAATTGTTTTAACAAATAATCTTAATTGTTTGTAATGTGTTGGGGGAAATTTTGTCATTGAGAAAAACGAAAAACTTTTTCTTTTCAAGGTTAATTGTTAAGATCTTTCCGGAACTGGATTAAATTTCTTCCTACCGATTGTGATGATTATCGTTGATCTCAGGTTGATGAGATGATGAAAGTTAAATGATTGATTGTGATTATTGATTGTTAATTAAGAGAGAGAAAAATAATCATTTCGAAGGGAGAGAAAAAAAAAATTATTCTAACCAATTGGTAAGTTAATTTAGACTTTAAAATGAACCAGAATTGAAATTTGATTCCAAGATTTGAACAGGAATCTTTTTCCACTGATTCTTGATTCTTACGTGAGTTAAAACATAATCAGTTTTTGATTATTAAACAATCAACTGTTAATCAATGAATGACTGGCAACAATTTCCAATCACAACAATCAAACACAACCAAATCAACAAACCAGCAATTAATAGAAAGCAAAACACAGATTGAAACAATTTAACCTTGAAAATAACAAATCACAATCAAGACAAACACACGCATAGGTAATACAAGGTAACTGAAACAAAGTGAACAAAATCAGTCAACAATTAACGAGAAAATTAATCAACAATAATCAACAGTAGAAATTATTAATTGTCTAAATATTTTCATCATCATCATCAACAATAAAACTTGGATCAACGTCAAGTTATAATGAAGATAATGATAATGATGATGATGATCATCATCATCAGTGTATTATCATTGTATTATTTGAATGATGTAAGTAAAGATGCTGATGATAATGATGAAGATGAAGATGAGGATGATGATGATAACAAAAAATGAAGAAATGAAATGTGATATTTTAACTTTATCTACAGGTTATCAGCAACTGACACCGGAAACCATCAAATTATCAATTCTCATCAATGAATTACTCATCAAATGGTTTTATATAACAATGAAACATGAAAGTAACAGATATATTCATATTATATCATCAATTATCATCATCATTATCATCATTTACCTTTAAAGATGATGAATGAATGAATTGTAAGGAGACAACAAATGATTAAGACAAGACAACAACAATTAATTTACTTTAATCAATTTGAAATTCAAACTATTCTCAAGAAACCTAAACCTTTAAAAACTTGTAATCTAATTTGAAATCATTAATGAAAATCTTATTATCATTACTATTACCATGGATCATTTAATTACTCACTTAATTGACGATTTGAAAAGTTGATTTAACAATTAACAACAAAACTATTATGTTTATTATTTACATTTGGGAAAGTTACTCAATAACTAAGAGGTAAAGTGAGTGGTCAGTGTGTAAATCGGTTGAAAGATTGACCTAAACTAAATGAAGCAATTTAATGTTTGATTACAATTGATTGTGTGTACAATTGTGATAATAGTAAAGCTAATAATTGATAATCATGTTAATCATAATGATAAATAATGAAAAGAACCCATGGAAAGATATTTATCTAAGTAAAAATAACAATGACCAGTGAAGATGAAAAGGTTTGAAGGGTCAGTTGATGTTTAAGTACAAAGGGAGGTAAAGGGCTACTCTTTTTTTTCAATGGTTTCCTTTTCCTATTATTTGTTTATGGTCAAGGTAAAAACATGAAAAAGGGAAAGGGTCAAAAATGACCATTCCAATTAGATTGTGTCTCCATTACCTCAAAAAGGATGGAGAGGAGGAGGAGGAGAAGGAGAAGGAGGAAGATGAGGGATGATAAGGATGAGGAAGAGTAAACAACTTTCAAGGGAAGAGAGAAAAGGTTTATCAATATAAACGGTAAAGGTTTCACCCAATTGTAAGCAAAAAGAAAGAGGTAAAAGAAAGGAGAACCCCTTTTGTCATCATTATCATCATCATTATCGTAATCATCATCTTTTAGATTGCAATTACTTGACTTGCTGATGGTTATCACCTTAAAAATATGACAAGAAAACGTTTGATAGAGTAACATTTGACCAAGAAAAAAGGTTAAACATTTAGATACCTTTGAGAAAAAGAAAGTTAAATAACTGACCAATGGTCAAAAGTTGAGACCAATATGTTGACAATAACAAGAAACGACAACATGGGTCACTCTCCCTCTCTCTCTCTCTCTCTCTCTCTCTCTCTCTCTCTCTCTCTCTCTCTCTCTCTATCCAACTGAGAGAGAGAAAGAAAAAAACAATTGTTCTTCAATGGAGATTGAAATGTATTCAGAATCATGATGATGGTTTTTACCTTTAAGGTGACATATTCATTGAGATAATATCTGTTGATAGTGTCAACAGATTTTTCTTCTTGACCATCAACAAAGAAGTAAAAAAAACTCATCATCATCTTGACCATTCTCTTTCTTACCTTATCATCCAGTGTCTTTCAATCATCATCATCATCAACAACAACTTGTTTACAATGAAGAGAAATTCATTTGTATGTTTTTTTTATCAACATCTTCAACAAGATTCTTGAAGAGAAAAAGAAAAAAAAATTGAACAAGAAAATATTTCATCTTATCATCATTATTTTAAGATGATGTGGAAATATTTTCACCATTATCATCATCAAACAAGAAATAAGGTAAACAATCAAGCTAATCATCATCATGATTACAACCATTCATTGATTGAGATGAAAATTCATTGAGATGAATCATTTGAATCAGTGAAAGAACAAAAAAAAAACTTTTTTCTTTCTTTTTCTTTGGAAACCAAATTACTTATATAGGAATAATACAGGATATAGAATCTGAATTCAAGGGGATGAAGTTCAGATGATGAGGGTGATGATAAAATGGATGAAGATGTAGGGATGCTCAAGATAATATTAAGGTTAACCTATAAAAAAATATTATCCAAAATAAAAGAAAATCTTGTTGAAAAACTTTTTCTTCTTCTTCTTTTTCCTAATCGATGCACATATTGTCATTTTCATCATCATCTAAACTTCATCTTCTTCCTCCTTCACATCTTAACATCATCACTCCCACAAGATGGAAAACATGAAAACCCACAGAGTGAGAGAGAGACAATTGTAACCTAGGTAATAATATTATCCAACTCTCAGGTAAAAACCTCATTACAATAGATGGAGATACGCAACTAGCATCATTTCCCGTTCCTCTTATCATCATCATCATTATTATTCAAATGATAATAATACTTTGTTCATACTCTCTCTCTCTCTCTCTCTCTCTCTCTCTCTCTCTCTCTCTCTCTCTCTCTCTCTCTCAAGGTTCACTTTCGAAAATTATTGTTACAATTATCATCGAAAATGATAACAATTGAATTTCATATATAATTCAATGTAAATGCTGTCCAAAGGTGGAGGGTATTCATTGCAATATAGGTTGAATTTTACATTTATCTTCATCTTAAAACGCATCTTATGTTGGTCTTTTACTTTTTTGCTCATTTTTTTTTCATCTCTTCCTTTTCTTATTACATATTAAAGTCTATGGATCTAAATCTTGATCCTTCGTGTGCCCGAGTTGTAGCATTATTATTATCATCTACATAGATCGAGCATCGGACTAGTGCTGTTCAATTGAAGAAGAAGAAAAAAAGTAATAACAATTGATTCAGATCAAGATGATAATCTAACAATAAAATATCTTTATCATTATTATTTAGTTTGCGATATTTTCATATAACAATAACATTCACTTTCCAATGTTTACATCGATAAAAAGGAGAAGCACAAGAATCGGGTTATTGGTGAGATGAAGACTCTTTCAAGTCACCAAACATAAACACATCAGGGGTTACATCAGGGAGGGAACAATGAAGACCTAAGACTTTACTAATGCTTCCGTTTTTATCTTCATTATCATCTCTCTCTCTCTCTCTCTCTCTCTCTCTCTCTCTCTCTCTCTCTCTCTCTCTCTCTCTCTCTCTGCTCTTCATCTGTCTAATGCCAAAAGTGAACAAAAAGATGAACAAGAAGATGATGAGTAAAAAAAGAGGAATCAAAATGATGAAAAGAAACCAATGTTGATTTAAAAGAAAAACATCGAAAATTTTGCTTTTCCATCTTCATCTTTTTCTGATGATTAAACTATTGAATATTTTATAAATTTACTGTTTAATTAGCATTTGTAAATATTAATTGTTCCTGTTAAGGGTTTGGTACAATTACGATTGCATTTTTTTCAATGGTTTTAATGTGCTGATGTTGTTTTCTTTCAAAATCTCAAAAGCATCTTCCGTTTATTTACTTTATTGTGATTTCTATCTTCATCTTGAGAGAGAGAGAGAGAGAGAGAGAGAGATGACAAAACTGCATCACTTGACCGTGTTAAGAGTCAAAAGGTGGGGTTAAGATGAGGCCACTTAACTGGACAAAAAGCATCTTAAACAACAACAATGGTCAGTACAATTTTTTTTCCTTCCACAATCAACTAAATGTACTTTTGATTTTCTATTGGATTTGACTGGAGAAAGAGACTAAAGTAATCTCGAAGTGTAATTGCAATTATTTAACATAGACTATTGGTGTTGGAAAAACAATTAAATTACTAATTGAAACAATTTAGTTAAAAGTAAAGCTTGTAAATGATCAACTGTTAACAACAAAAACACGGCAAAGAAAAGATTCAAGTTAATTGGGATTAAAAGATGTTGGTGTTAACAGTAATTTGTTAACACTTCAACTCTTGTAATGTTGTTTAACAGCCGAAGAGACAATTAATTGTTGTGATGCGAACAGAGTGATAACTTTTAATTGTCCATCACAATCAGACTCTAATCAGTAGATTAGCATAAATGGACAACATTATAACAGAAAAAATTGTAACAATTAACTTTAAACATAGAAAAAAGATTAACATCAACTTGATTATCTTAGGAAAAGTGTAACAAGAGTAGGAGGTTGAGGGTGGGGTGGGTTGAGCTTCTTAAGGAGGAAATGATCAAAATAATCATTGAGTACGTGTAACGAGCTTGAGGGCTACTTAAAGAGAAAAAAAGTTCTAATCAACATCAACAATCGAGATGAAGCTAAAATCTAGTTACCATAATCATCTTATATATTTTGACTTCTCGCAGTTAACTAATCTTGCCAACAACAACAACAACAAGATGATGATGATGATGATATTTATAATAGTTATATGAGGAAGATAAAGTTGATAAAGATGATTAAGATTAGTATCAAGATTAACTGATGCTTCTGCTCATCATCTTCATCTTTTAATCATAATGAATTTTAAGGAAAATGAGGAAAAAAACATTCCAGTCATTCTTATCCATCTTAACTATAATTATCATCATGTTCATCATCAGGAAATATAATCACGTGGCTTCCTGTCACATTGACGATAATTACAATGATAAATCAACGATAATCATGATTAGTGAAACAAATTTTCATCTAATTTTCTACTAATTGAATCAAATGTATTGGGGAAAATTATTCCAGTCAAAATATTGATCATTTTGTCAGTTCGATTGGAGTCTTTTCCAGTCCTCTTTCAATAAGGTTTGTTTTGCTTTCTTGTCGAGTGTGTGTGTGTGTGTTTGTATAATGACCTTAAAAAGGCCACAAAAGGCCACCAGAAAAAGACGACATTAAGAACGGATATTTGTTGTATTGTATTGTTATCACAAAAAGTGTGTAACAACGCCTTAAATTTGAATTCATATTGTTGCGAGATTCATTTTAAAGGCTCACGTCTTTTTCTGTCCATAATGTAAATTCAATGCTTTCTCCCTATTGTTAAATATCAAACACTCATTGACATCTTTCCCTCCCTCCTTAAAAAGCCACCCTCTCACTCTGGTCTCTCACAGCTCGATCATCTCTCCTCCTCGGTCTTCAGCTCACTGATCTCTCTCTCTCTCTTTCTCCATCCCTGTGATTATTACATGCAATTGATTGCTATCAAGCCACGAGAATTACAAAATTATCAATATGATGATAATACTAAAAGAGTAGAAAAAATTGAAAACAATTAACTTATATGATTTAACATTCCCTCCATCTCCCATTATCACCGCATCACCACCATGTAATATTATAATCTGCCAACAGATTAATCTGTTAATCCGAAAAGTTTTTTTTTTCTTCAGAAAATCTAAATTAGTTGGAAAGTGAAGTTAATCAAGAATTTTAAATATGACATAAAATTATCACAATGATACTTGTGTAAAAGAGATGACAATTGATGATGATTATGATGTACTAAAATCCGTGAGAAGAGGAGTCACAACAGCTAATGTACTAATGTTAACACGCGTTTTTTCACGTACTCAAAGAAGCAAAAAAAAACAACTATTGGAACATTTTTCCCTCGAACAAGATGATAAGATTATAACACGAGTGTTTTTCTTTGTTAGAATAACATAAATACACAAGGTGAACCCTTAACATTTTCAAGTTTAGAGGTCAAACCTCGAAGAGGCTCCATTATCGTCAAGATGATGTCGATCGAGAGAGAGAGAGAGAGAGAGAAATAAAAAAGAGAGATGAAGATGAAAAGGAAGAGAGTGTTAAAAAAGAGAGCAAAATTCAAATTGAAAAGTTGCTCTAGTTTTTTTTTCTCTTCCACTTCATATTCAACTAGTAACTATTACGAAATTATTATATTGTAAGATTGATTGATTTAGGAAGTATATTCAATAATAATGTTAGTTTGTAATATAACTGATATATCAAGAGGAGGAGAGGAGGCAGAGGGCAGAGGGTGGGGTGGGTAAGGTTTACATTGAATTGAATGGTTGTGGTGGAAAAAAAGTTTCGACAATTTGAATTAACTAACAAGAGATTCTACTTTTCCTCTCCATCACCTTTGTTGATTGTTGTTGATTAAGATTGTTATTGATTATGATCGTTAATTCACAATTTCTCGTAATTGTTAACAGTTTTTACCCACCTTATTGATTGTTATTAACATTTTCGAGGGCGTTTTATTAACTATATTAATCACAATCAAGAGGAAAACCACTTCTGTTTAATTTTCCTATGATAATAAATCACAATCAACAATGTTATCGTCATCATCATCTTGGATCATACAAATTGTAAGATTTATTAGTTAATTGTTACTCAGTTATCTTCAATATTGGTGGTTAACCAAACTGGATTGTAATCACTTAATATTGGAAATTTATCAATTTGATTTGATCATTTCAATATATAAATCGGATGATGATTAGAGGAAATTTAGACAATTGAATTGAACTGAATTTAATTATTAGATTGAATTGATTGAACTTACCTTTTTATATTGCAATTGGGAACAATTTAAATTTAATTTTTCAATCTTATTGATAATCCTTTTGATTTGATTATTGTTGTTGGTCCATTGGTGATATATATTTATTGTTGATTGTTAATTAACTTCACGATCACACACACAATGAACACAATTAAACAAAATTATCCTTAGATGAGTAAATTAAAAAATATAAAAAGAAAACAATTAAGTTAATCAATATAAATGTAACTAAACATGATTAGTAAACCACCTTGATTAAAGTGAAAGGATTAAATTGATGATAATCATGATGAAGATGATGAAGATGATGATGATGATGAACAATTAATAAAACAATTACGATTAAATAAATTTAAAAGGAAAACAATTGAATGTTAATGTTGTTAATGAAGATGATAATTAAAAGTGATTTGATTGTTGATTGATTATCCGGATGAAGATGAGAGAGCGAGAGAGACACAACTCACAGAGAGAGAGAGAGACACAGATTATGATTGTAATTACAATTAATATAAATTGTTGTTGTTTAGTTTTTCTTGTTAATCATAATAATGATAATCTACTATTCCGTTACCAAGAAAGGAGGAGGAGATGCTGATGCTTTTAGCTTGAAAGAGGAGGAGGAGGTGGAGATAAATTATTATTATTATCAACTGATGATGATGATGATGATGATGATGGAGGATGAGGGATGAGGGATGATGAGAATGCGTCTTAATCTTAGGCTTGAGGTGGAGTTTAAATGTACAGGTAATCCGCCTCGTAACCAATCAGATCAACTGATTCCTTCGAGATGGGAGGAAACTTTGTTATTATTATTATTCTGTTTATCATGTTAATCATGATCAAACTCAATTCAATTGAATTAACATTGATGCTTTTGTTTTTCATCATCAATCTTATCATCCTCATCATTTTCATCTTCCTCCTCCCCTTCATCTATATTTCATATCAATTTCAATTGATTTGGCCTCCATTTCATCCTAATGACACAATTACAATTAATTTTCTTGATTATTATTATTATTTTATTATTTTTGTTGATTTTGTTTTTTATTTGTCAACATCATTAAACATTAACTCATCATCAATTTAAATTAAAGTTAATGTTAAGGTTAAAGTTTTTAATTACAATTAATTACAATTAGTTGGTTGTTTTTGATGATTTTTGTTTGCAATTTGATTTATTAATTGTCTCCAATTTGAAATAATGTTTCATTTTTGTCAATAATTTGAGTAGTCAAGTTAATTGTTTATATTTTAAATTGAAAATAGTCTAATTTGTTGTTAACAATTAGATCTTGTTAATTAGTCTTTGTAATTAGAGGGTTGTGATTACTTTTTTTGAACAATTGATTCAATCATCATAAGGAGCTGAGTTAATTTTAGGAAACAATTTCATCATTTTTATCATCTAATTGGATTTGTTGATGATGATGATGATCAATTAGATTAAAGTTTAATTGTTTGGTGATGATTAAAAGGAAATGATTGAAAATGATGTAAGAAAAAGGTTTGATTGTAATGTAATATTTTAAAGGTGAAATTGATGACAGGGAGGTTGTTATTTTGGGAGGATCTTGGTGATGATAATGATGAGGATGAGGATGAGGATGAGGAGAAAGAGGGAGAGAGGATGAAGATAAAGATGAAAAAGTTACGTCTTGATAATATTGATTTTCTCTTTTCTCTTTTTCTTATTGACCTTTAAATAACCAAATGAGAAGAAGAAGAAAATATAATGACAATGGAATAAGAGAATAGGATTAACAAGAAGATGATAATGATAATAATGAAAGAAGAAGATACATTAGATGATGAGGATGAGAAAGAAACAAAAGGAAGACAGAAGGTAAATAGAAAGAAGAGAAAAATATGATAACGATATTGATGATGAAGATAAAGATAACAATAAAGGTGAAGACAGGTAAGATTATTGGGAAGAAGTGATGATGAGAGATGGAAAGGTAAGATAAGGAGTTAATTTTATCTCTTTTTTTCATCGAAATTTTTTTTTCTTTTGCATTGTCGAGGAGAAAACAAAAAATTCGCAGAAATTGGAAACCATTGGATGAGAATTTCAAATTTTCCGCTCAATGGGATCATCGATTTTGACTCTTTGTTTATTTTTCTCCCTTTTAAATATCACATTTCATTTGTTTCAAAGATCATCAATCGATGACCAGATAGACCCATAAACTGATCGTAAAGTGATAATTAAGAGTAACAATTAATCAAATTTCATTTTGGAACAAAAAAATTGATCAAAATCCGAACGTTACAAGTTGAAATTCGGTGATGGTCCCTGAGAATTTTTTTTCATTTTGTTTACATTTTTCTCTTTCTAGATTTTGTTTTGGTTTAATTGTTTACGAATTTAATTAATTAAAGGTTAGTAAATTCTTTCGATAATTTGGTTATTTTTAGGATTTGATTGTGTTAATTGTCTCCGTTGAAACTTTGTTCTGATTATGGTTGGTTAACTTTGATTGTTTTCTTAATCTCTTTTCTATTTCTTTTGGTTTAGGTTATCATGTTATCATCAATGTTAACAAGACAAATTCTGAGGCGAAGTCTTAATTTTACTTCGGTTATTACTCGATTACAAGTGCGAGGGGCTCAACGATCTTCTACTACTACCACTGGATTTGATAGAATGACCTTCCCTGCTTTGGAGAATCTTCGTAAAGTTAAGGAACCACCAGAAGTTGAAAGAAGAAGACTAATCTGGCTTGTTAGATCAATCGTAATTTATGCTACTCTTTACATTACATTTATAACTGCTTTTTGGTTTATTTTTCCTCGAGCATTTTTCCCTCATGGAGAGGTAATCGAATATTAAATGTGTACCCTTAATTTCTATGATTTGAGAATTTAGAGTCTGTGTAAAATTGTGTAGAAATAAGAACACTTCAACTTGTCAAGATTCAAATTAAAAGGTAAAAAGAGAACAATAAAATAAATGTAGACATTTTAACTTATTTATACAAGTTTGATGTTTTAATTTTCTAATTTAATCAACATTTATATTATATTGACAATTAATCTTCGCAATTTCTAAAAAGAAGAAGAAACAAAAATGAAATTGATGAAATTAAAGCGAGGTTTTTTTTTTAGTTAAATTACTAATCTATTCAAATTTTTTTCCCTTAAGGTTAGCAATGGCTCCATATCAGCTCGATAATCTTCATAAATTTCTGAAGGCCTAACAAACCACATTGAATAGAAAGCCAATCCAATAATAGGTATCGCAGGCCAGAGTAATTTCTCACTAAAAATGGGTAATAATCGTTTCTTTCCTCGAGTCTGTTGATGTCGACTAACCATTGGAACTAAATTGAGACCTCGTCTCATCATCTCCTTACCAATCAATGACATTGGGATAACCTACATGACAAAAAGAACCAAAAAAAAGGTCAAATATTAATCCACAGTAACCAAAGAGTTTAAATCTCAATCAATCAACAAATAGCGCAGTTCAAATAATCCATTTAAAATACTCACGTTTAATTAATTGTCCAGAAACAAATTGAACGAAAACAATTAAATCTAATTCAAAACAATTGAAAGAAAAATCAATTCTCTGAAAAAGGGATCGTTCATATAATACGATGAGAGAAATTCTACTCGGTTTGGATTCGATATTCGGATTGGACTCAAATGGAATCGATATTTTTTCTCTTTGGCAACAAATGTGTTGAAAAGATTTCGTCTTAAATTGTTTGAATATTTATTATCTCCTTGATTGTGATAATTTAATTGTCCATTTTAGTTGATGTTAATTTTTCGTTGATTGACTTGACAATTGTTCCATTATGTCTCTACTTTCATCTTTTATCAGAACAGCGAGTCGAGTACCGACCAGTATCTCCCGAACCCAATTCAATGCTTTATTTTCAACTAGTCCCGAATGGAAGGAGAAACTTGATAAAATGGTTTCATCTAATAAGGTTGTTGTTTTCATGAAAGGAGTTCCAAATGCTCCTAGATGTGGTTTCTCAAATGCTGTTACTCAGGTAAAGATAATTTGTCACGTAATCATTAAGAATAATTAATGTCCTCCCATCTCTAAGAAATTTCTCCTTTAAGAATAATTTTTTGCTTTCCAAATTCTAAAGAGAATTTTTTTCATTTTCTTTTTTTTCTTTCCCTTTTCTTTTCCCTTTGTTCTTTTGTTTTTCTTTTTCTCATCATCTCTTTTTCCATCATATCTTTTTGTTTTCTTTCTCGTAGGTTCTTCGGATGCATGGAGTTGATTATGATGCACATGACGTTCTAAGTGATGAGGATCTTAGACAAGCGATTAAAGATTACACCAATTGGCCTACTATACCTCAAATCTACATAAATGGACAGTTTGTCGGTGGATGTGATATTATACTTCAAATGCACAAAACTGGTGAACTAATTGATATGCTCAAAACAATTGGTATAAAATCAGCTTTAAGTGAAACAGAATCCCAATGACATTTACTTGTTAGTTTATAATTATCACTTAGTGTATTTATGATGAGCCAAAATCCATGTTTCTACAATCGGCCATTTTGCTCACTACTTTTTTGTTTTGCCTTCTTCGTACTCGAAACAGCAAAAGAAAGAGAGAGAATCAATTATCTCTCTTCCTCATCTCTCTGATATATATTTTCATCAAAGAGATAATCTTGATTCATATATATTCAAAAAAATGTTGCAAAATAGCAATTGTAACTATACCAAACTGAGTAAATCAAAATTGATCAAGTTAAATCAACAAATCAAACCAAAAACTTAGTTATTTAACCTGATAAATTGTGTAGTTTTAGTCAACAATTGTAATACCAAACCAACGATTGTGATTTTGATTTAAAGATCAATCTAAATCTCCCACTAAATCAAAGTTTACTTTTTATTGTATTCAGATAAATTACCATTAGGAAAGAGACTTGTTGAGGCTCATTGAAATTCATTGTATCATAATTAGACTCAAATTGTAGCTGTTATATATTTTAATTAATTTCTAAATTTGTGGAAACCAACAAAACAAAAAAAGGAAAAGAGATGACCAGGAGAGAGGAATCATCATCAAAAAGGAAAAGTAACCAAGGATAAAGACAAAGATAAAAGTGCCAATGCTGTTTACAGGAAGGAAAAAGAATTAAATTGTCAAGTCCAGTTTACATCGAAAATTTTAAATTGTTATAAATACGGTAGATAAATTAATAGATTCGATATGATCACATTTGAGGTCGTAACATCTCAAGACTCCTAATGAATAGATTGATCCGAGGCCTTGGAGGTAATGGTACATCAACGTTAATCCCTTTGCTCCTCAAAAAGGTTAAACTTTCCTCTGAAACATCACGACAATCACCAACCTTAATCGTCTTTAAATTGTTACAATAATCACCAATCATTCTGTTAATTTAAGGAGAAAAAAAAGAAGACAAAAAGAGGAATCAAAATTAACAATCCAATCACAACAATTTAGTCTTAGTATTAACATTTGTCTGTTTATGTAAAACATTAGAGTAAGAATTTTGTTTACTCTAATTAAACAAAATTTCATATTTTCCTTGTTAATTACTATTAATTGTTATTCTCTCTCTCACCTAACACCATGATCAGTTACTCTCCAACACCCTGAGATATTGAGATATTCAAGATACTTGGAGTGCGACGAAAGGGCCAACAGAACTCGATCTGTGATTCCATAAATCTTGGAAAGTGACAATCGCCTTAATTTGGTACAACGAAAGATCATCTCAATTGCAGCATCATCACTAATCTCCCAGCAACTGGTTAAATCAACTTCCTCCAAATTGGGACAATTAATAACCAAATGTGTAACAGCGATCGCATTAATCCAATGGCAATCCTTTAATCCAATTGATTTAAGACCCTTACAAGTGACCGCGAGTCTTTGAAGGCAATTGTTTGTCACATCGAAACAAGATGAGATATTTAAACTAGTTAAATTTGGATTTTGTTCAATTAAATTTTGTAATTGATCATTTGAAATCCATTTACAATTGGATAGATTGAGAATCCGTAAATTGTAACAATCAACCGTTAGAATGTTAAACGCTTGAGATGTGAAACGATTTGACAATTGAGATAAATCAATCATCAATAGAGATGAAAAATAATCATTGATCAACATTAACATCGAACGGGAAACTGATCTTAATCGATAAAGATCCTTCCATGATAATCGATCCAAAATATATGGGAATAGAATATCATCCCATGGAATTGTAAATAGATTGTTAATTGATTGCTTGGAACAATTAATTTCACCATCACAATTGTCAACAGTTTGTTGATTAGTTAATTCACCAGCAGTTAGATCATTTTCTTTGGTCATTTTCAGAGTTTTGTTTTGGTCACTTGTTTTGGTCACTTCAAGTTGTTGATTTGTCTCCTTTAATTGCTCTGTCATGATTCAATTTGATTGTTACCATCAATATTGATTGTTGATTAGTGTAAAAAAAAAGGATTTCAAATCAACGAGATAATAATTACCAAATTACAATATTTACAACAGTTATGAGCAATTGGATTGATTAATCATATCCATAGATATCAACCAGTTGATTTTACCAGTTAATTGTTTCAATGGTCAAGGATTAAAACGAGGAATATATATTTATTTATAAATTATCACTAATTGTCGATTGGTGGTTTAAAAGGTCATCAGGAATCAGTTAATCACTAATGTAAACAATTGAAATGATTTGTTGTTATTGAAGACACTTGATGATTAGAGACAATGTTTCACTTTAATTGAGGATTAAATTGTAAATAGAAAGTCAATTTCTGGCTAAATTTGGTTAATCTGTCAACGAGATGATTAAATAAAATGGTGACAATCATTATATTTATCAACTGACTCACGAATATTTATCATGTTTATGGTGAAAATTGAGTTGATTCTGTTGATGTTTTCCAGTGATGACGATTTGTTACCTTCGAAAATGGTAAATGTACAAAAAAAGAAATTGAAATAATATCAATTCGAAATCTCGAGAAGAGAGAGAATGAAACAAATTCGAATTGAGTTTGCTCGAGTTTTTCTGTTCTCTTTATTCATTCAATTTACTCATGGAAATTGTGATCAAATGAGCTTGACCAGTCGATCGATTCGATTACACAATCAATTGGTCATTCTATTAATTCGAGTGATATTCTGGTGGGTGGTGAATGTCCATCTATTATTTAGTTCCAGATTTAAACATGACAACAATTAAGAGGTTGAGATACAACTCGAAAACTATTCAGATTAATAATTTAACTGATTAACATTGATGATTAACGATCATCATTATGATTACCAAGATTTCCAACAATTAGTGTTAATATTAAGATTTTGTTATTTTGTTTTAACATTAATTCTGAGTCTTAATTGTAATAGTAACTAATTTATATTGATTATCCAAATTAACTAGACAAAACTTTACTTAGCTGAAGTAAATTGTTTATCTGATAGTCGATAATTAAAATTAAGTTGATCAAACTGTTTGAAACAATTAAGCTCACAAATGTTGATGAGGTGAAGTGAAATTTGTAACAATTAACTTATTGTCATTTCCTAGTTGATAGGAAATTAAACTACTTCATTAAATTGTTGTCGTTTCCTTAATTGTCCTTGTTTAAGGTCTATGAGTTTAGTTACCTGGAAATTTACAGATTACAGTTGCAATTAAATGAGACCTTTAATTGTTATCTAATCAATTTTAGATTCTGTTCACAATTTAAACAATTTGTTTACACATTGAAGAGCCAATTTATGAATAACAATTAATCTCCAATGACAACAATTAACACGAAAACCATGAAAATCATTGTAATCATAAGACAATGGTAACAATTAACAAGTTAATTAATTCACATGAAAAACTTTGATCATATTAGATTGTAATTAATGATTAATTAACTTTGTCTTTACTTTTAATTCAATTAGACCAAGGCTTGAGTAAATGTTTTTAATTTACTAAATGACATCAAGCCAATTAGTAGTTAATATTGATAAATTAAGCTAATTATCAACTATTATTACAATTAAAATTAACTTCTTATCAAAATTGTTAACATAATAATAATCAAGGTAATCAAAGTGTAAAAATATTGAACATGATAAACAATTAGTTAATCATCAATGGATTAATTTTGTTTGAGAAAAACTTTGATTAACTTTTAAACAACAACAACAACAACAACAATTAATGAAACAATAAAGTAATTAAAGTTAATCAAAGGTTATCTTTTAATCATGATAAACAAACAAACAGCTAATTAATTCATAACAATCAACCAAAATGATAAAGTAAAACCAACAATTAGATATGAAAAAAAAATCAATTTACCATTATCAATATAACTCATTGAAGATGATTGATTACCAGTTGATTAGACTAATTAACACAATTAAATTTTATATAGGTGATTATGATTATGATTAAGTTGATTGTAGAAATAGTAATTAAAATAATAATAATACGATAATCAAGACAAATCAACGAGAAACAATTAAATAAATAAAAGAAGGAGAAAAAAAAATCAACAATAAACAGAAAAATGATCAATTGGAAAACCTTGTTTTCTGTTGATTTTTACTTGTTACCTGATGATTAGTTTGTAATACTTTTGGTCAGTGATTCTCATTTGTTGATTGATCTTTCATGATGAGATGACCATTGAAGGAGTTTGATTGTAAAACAAATTAACTCTCAACTGAGAGTAATCAAAACTTCAAGTACACAATTAGGTTAATTAAACACGTATTGAGCACGGAACCAGAAACAAAAAAGTTTTGTTCGTGAACAACATAACCAAAAACACTGATATTTACAAATAACAAATCAAATTGTTAATTATTGGCTAATCAATGTTCAAAAAAGGGTCAACAATTAGTTTACCGTTAATCTAATAGTTAATTAATTGGGAATGAAAGTGGATTAATAGTGGAGGCAGGAGATATCAGTGTACAAATTTGATTAGAATTGGATTATCTTATTCTGTTATTCAATATTTGAGAAGAGCTTGTTGATTATCAAGATCATCAAGGTAACAATTAAGGATTAACGATCATGGGAAGTAGTTTATTTGTCGAGATGAAGGATAACAGGTTAATAAGTACAGTTTGTGAACAAAATTAAGAAGAGGGATTAAGAAGTGACCAGACAAACGATTATCCATCAATGAGAAATGATTTTCTCTTGGTGTGTTTGTCCAGTTCAAAGATGAGATAGTTAATTGTCCAGGTCAATTAGGAACAATTAAAAGAGTCCAAGAGAGTAGCAAATTAAACTGAAGAGAAAAAGTTAATTGTAAATTGTTTACATGAAATCAAAGTGACAATCAAAGGTGTTAATTGTTATAATCGCGAGGCAATTAAAAAACACTTTCTATTAACAAGTTAATAGATTAATAAGGTTAATTAAATTGAATCAAATCAATTAGAATTCTATCCAAACTGAATTAGTTTTAATTGTTGTTGTCGCCAAATTTGTTAATTAAAAAGTTTTCTTGTCAATATTCACATCCGATTTTATAATCCTGACACCAAATTAGATAATTAATCATAATTGTTAATCGTTTAATTATATAATCCAAGGTGACAGTTAATTGTAAGTTTCATGTAAATTAATTAGTTGATGTACTTTTTTTTGTTAATTGTCCAATTTAATTAGATTGTAATTAAAACTGATGAACCATTTTGAGAAATTTTTTCGCCACTAGTTAAACAGTAAATCATTTAATCCATTGATTCATATTTTTTAACTGGATTAAGTCAAAATGATTGTGTCTTTTACCTTGAAATTGTTTGATTGTTAATTGTTTTAACTGATTAATTAATTGCATCTTGTAAAGGTGAACAGAAACATTTGCTCAATTAAGATGGATTAAAGTTGATTGTGATTGATACACCTCTGGATTTACAAGATAGATTAACTAATCAACTTGATGATCATGTCAAGGTTTCAATTAACAAATGACCTAGAAACTTAATGAAAAGATTAGGATTGAGATTAGGATTAGCAGCAATTAAACTAGATTCAAGTGCAAAGGGAAAACAATTTAATTTAAATTATTTTAATCATCTTTTATAAATTTTTGATTAATCCATCTTCATCTTCATCTGCAATCTTTAATATGTCTTATTTATATTGTGGTGAAAGTTAATTGTGAACAATTAAACAACCATCGGTAACCCAGATCTCCATTGATTATTGATATTGTTTGTCATTGATTTTCACAAAGTTAATCCAACAGCAGATTAACATCAACTGAATCAAGATAATACAATTACATGACCACACCAAGATGATTAATCCTCATCTTAATCTTTTACCTTTACTGATGAGTAAAAATTGATGCGTACCAATGATTAGACAACATATAAGAACCAATATCGAGGTGAATTTATGTTTTTTTTTCATGTTCGTGCAAAATGATTAACCAAATTCAAAAAGTATTGCAACTAATTGCAATCAAAAGGTAAGAACAATAATAATTAATACCAGGTAAGCGTGACTCGAGCTTGAACAAGGTTCTAACCGTCTAATTAAAATAACGTCACAGTAACGATTTCGAAGAAAAGTTCTAACGAAACAACAATCGAAAACTGGTCAATCCAATAACAAGTCTCAGGTCAAAGATGATCTTTAACCGATCGTCATGATCGTTATTTCAATAATGTATCATTCGAGTAAATTGGAAGACGGTTCGATCTCTCTCTCTCTCTCTCTCTCTCTCAATTTCTCGATTTTAAGACTAAAAAGTCACGACATTAATTACGACGCTTACGAATCTTAATCACTAATTTACTCCTTTTGTCTTTAATAACTTTTAACTTCTTTTATTAACCATTAGAACTTTTCTTATTAATCATTTTCGCCTCTTCGAATCTAATTATTGTTATTACCTATTGAATATCGTTGTAAACAGTTGATTAGATGAAAAATTAATCTCTTAAATGTAGTAATTGTAAAATCTTATTAACAATCTAACTGAATCACTAATCATGATATTCAACTTTAAACCATCACATTGATTTATAATCTAATCTTTTTTGCTCTTTAAGCTTAATTGTACCTTTGATTACTACTATTATTTCAAATAATCTTATAAATAATAATAACCAATCAATAAATTTCAAAAAATTATCAATAATGATTAGTAAATGAACAATAATCACCAGATAAGTTTACAATTACTTTTGATTAGATACAAATTGATTTTTCATTCATTTACAAAAATTTCATGATAATTAACTTTAAATCCTGCTGATAATTAATCATCACCAATATCATGTTAACATTACAATTAATCATCACAGTGATAGTAGAACAATTAACTGAAATAAATTGTTTCGATATCGATAGGAAATCATATTGTTAACCATTGAGAGATGATTAATGAAAGTAGTGTAACAATAATGGATCATCTCATGGATTAAGATGCTGGTTCAATGAGAGGATAAGGGTTTTCTTTAGGGATGAAATCACTTACAATATTTATCGTGGTTCCTGAATATTTATCATTAGTTATATTTTCACGAATTGTGAACAATTGAATGAACAAGAAACGGAAACAGGAAAACCATTCAAAGTAACTGTTGACAAGTTTGATCATCAGGAAGTAAATTGTATCAAATACTAAAAATAGAAACTCTAATCATCACCATTACCACTTAATGGTCAATCTAATGGTCAATGGATAAGCAAACCTTTTAGACTTTATCTTGGTGGTGATAATATTTGGATAAAATTTCAAATTAATCAGCAATATTATCGGAGGAAGATTGAAAGATTACCATGAAATTAGCTAATGATAATATCTTGATTGTTAATCTCTTGTAAAATGATGCAAAGTTAATCGGTTACTGTTATAATCCTTGGTAATAATAGTTGCAATTATCCTAAGGGCTAAGGAAATGATTATCATCCTCAATCAAACTGATTAATTTTAAATATTAAATAAGATTTAAGAACCAAGAGAAATGTGAAAAAAAGTATCATGAACGTGATTCAATTCAATTCTGAGTGAATTACATGATATACTTTCACTTTTCATGATTCAACCTCATGTTTTTATATCTCAGGTGAAAGTGAAAAAATATATTCTTATTACAACTTTGCTTTCTATTATTATTATCATTCCAATTCCAATTCCATTATCATTATTATCTTCATCTCATTGAGAATTCACTTGTTTCACCAATTAACAGA